ATTATTGCAAAATCTTTGTACACAGTAAATGGAGAATAAAACACCTTTAATCTTTAAAAGATATTTGTCTAAAAAAGTTTAATATTTTACAAATATATGAATATAGTTTATATTATAGCATTTGTAATTTATCAGTGTGTCAAAGCACCTACATGTACCTTTACCTCAATAGGTGGAAAATACTATAATTTCTTTTCATGTTATAGGATGAGAAAACTGAAGACAATACAATTTAAGTATTCTGGTCAATGTAGCAATTTGTTAAGGCTAACATAACAAAGTCCCACCAATCTAGTGATTTTAAAAAGATAATTTATTTTTCTCTTGTTCTGGAGTCTGTAAGTCCAAGATCAAGGTGTCCGATGGTTGGTTCTTTCTGAGGGGTGTGAGGGAAGAATGTGTTCTAGGTCCCACTCCTGGTTTGGAGATGGAAGACTTCTCTGTGCCTTCACACCATCTTCCCTCTGCATGTGTCTCTAAAGCTCATCTTCTGGTAAGAAACTAGTCATACTGGATTAAGACCCACACTAATGACCTCATTTTAACACAATTATCTCCGGAAAGCTTCTACACAAACAGCCATATTCTGAGATGCTGGAGGTTAAAATTTCAATGTATGAGTGGAAACAGAGACACAATGTAGCCCAGAATTGTCAGTGGTGAAACAGAGACTTGAACCTAGGTTTGAGACGTCAGACTTAAACTCATAAGCATTCTACTGCTTTATGGCAGATTGGTTCCTCACATTTTTCTGTCTGGTATATACTTACATTGATTTCCCTACTAGACTATAGATTCTTTGAAGGGAAGCACTGTATCTTAGCACTCAATAGGCATTTGCTATTAGTCAACAAATACTTTGGGCACTATTCTAGGATGTTCTAGGCACTACAGTTACTGCAATGATCATGACAAAGTCCACGTTCTTTAAGTTTACTTTAGAAAATGAGAAGGGACAAATAAACACTACAAACAAATGGCTAAAGAGATGGTTCAGCAGTTAAGAGCATGTACTACTCTTGCAGAGGACCCGAGTTCAATTCCCAGCACCCACAAGGGGTGGGGCTCACAACATTTATAACTCCAGTTCTGGGGGTATCTGACACCTTTGGCCTCTATAGGCACCTGCACTTGCATGCACATAGCCACACACTCGCACACACACACACACACACACACGCACACACAATTTTTAAATAAATAAATAAAGCAGGTGTGAGAAAAGTGTGTGGCTTCTTTATATGAGAGCCAGCACAAAGGAGACAATTTTCAAACTAGAGTGCCATGAATGAGTATTTTACACAGTAGCAGACTTGTTTTTTTAACAATTTTAAACATTTATTCATTTGGGGACTACACATGTAGTCAGAGGACAACTTGTGGGAGTCAGTTCTCTTCTTTTACCATGTGGCTTCCAGGGATCAAACTCAGATCATTAGGCTGGTCAGCCAGCACCTTCACCCACAGAGTCATTTCCCCAGGCCAGTAACTTCGAGAATACAGGCAAAGAAGCTGCTCACAGAAAACAGTCTGAAGGGAAGTTTCTTGGGTCCTTCCTTTCCATGTCAGAAACACATTCCCTTGGCCAAAAAAAAAAAAAAAAAAATGAGTTTTCTAAGTGAAAGAAACGTTTATATTATGGCATAGGAAGAAGGCAGCCAAAAAAGAAAGCACTTTATAAGACACCTAAAAAAAAATACAGGGCTTTAACAAGAGGAAAAGATCAGAGAGATGAGTTGTAAAAGCCTAGTCAAAAGCTTTTATATTCCAAAATAAGCTAAAGATTGGGACCTAAACTGTGTTCCCATTGAAATCCCAGAGGAAGGAAGCCAAGACTATTCCATAAGTCAGCTTCCCCACCTAAAAATTCATATCTTAGATAATGAGACAAAGAAATAAATTCCAGGCAATGCCAGGGTCATTATTTGTACATGCCCATCAGTCCTATTTGGGCCTTGAGGGAAAGCACACCTGCTCCAAGTCACTGGATCTTCTGCATCACCCAAGGGCTCAGGGCTGGTGAGGCTGCAGTGGCTCTCAGATGCTAAAGGATACAGTGACACCTACTTGCCACTAAGCTGTTCTTTTCCTTGCTATCTTCTTTTGGCAAGCAAAGATACCTAGGAAAAGAAAAATCTACTGAATTTTAAAACCATATGGTCATAGTTTTCATTTTTCTATCCATTGTTTTCACTTTGTGGCTTTTTTTAATGGGTTAATCTTTAGAAACAATCCATTGTTCACAGGAGCCAAAAATTAATGTTTATTAGGTATAATTATAAGCCCATATATTCTTAATGTTGCTTGCATGAAAAATTTAAAAGAAATATTTGATTAACTGAACTCTTTTGTCAGGATTAATATATATTCATATAATCATTCATATGATTTCAAAGATAAATTGAAGACTCTGGCAACAATATTGCTTTCCTTAAAGGAAAGTGACTAAGGGCTCAATTGGTGGGTCTTAGATAAATCTACTCTTTAAAAACATTTAAAACATTTTTACTATGTTAAAATCCAAAGTTTCACACAGACAAAAGTGCAATATTTGGTAAATACTCTGTTTCTACAGTAATTATACAAAATTTTATAGCTATATTTTTTTCATTTCTTTTTTTTTTTTACTTTGAATTCTTTAATCACTAACTTTAGCCCAGAAATGGTTAAGAGGAATAAAACATCCAAGTTGCGTCAGAATACACACGAGACAATCCTTAGCTGAATAAAATTCCATTGTATTATATTAAGCTCATTGACCCAGACTCTGAAAGGCAAAACTTTCATGTTTCCTCTTCCGCATGGACCCTACCTTATAATGTTTACAGATATGCATACAAGTGGGGAGGGGTCTATATCATTCTTGGGCATATACCCAAAGGACTCTACATCCTATACAGAGATACCTGCTCATCCATGTTCACTGCTACTCTATTCACAACAGCCAAGAAATGGAAACAACCCAGATGTCCATCAACAGATAAATGGATAAGAAAAATGTGGAACATTTACACAAAGCAATACTGTTCAATGATTAAAAAAAATGATATTGGAGCTGGCGAGATGGCTCAGTGGTTAAGAGCACTGGTTGCTCTTGCAGAGGACCCGAGTTAGATTCCTAACACCCACATGTGCAGCAGGCCAGCTGTGGGGGATCCTAAAACCTGAGTGGTAGGAGATTAAGGAAAAAAGACACAGGCACAGAAACAGCTGGGATCAGGACCTGCAGGCTGATGACCATGTAGGCACTTTATTGCAGGATAACAATGTTTTTATACCTTGCCTCAAAGCAGGAAAAAAATTATTATAGAAATATAGCACAAAACCACAAGTTCCTTTGAACCCTGCAGTTTCAATAATCAGTTTCGTTAATCACATGGATTTGCATCAGCAGTAGCCAAGCAGAACTTCTAAGACAAAGGCATTTGCCTAGGAAGAGTTTCATTTATCATAGGTAATTGTATAAGCAGCTCCCGAGCAGAACTACTAAGAGAAAGACATGTACCTGGAGACTGATTATCAGAGACTGACGTGTACAGGCTGAGCCCCAGGTCAGCTAAGACGGGCTTTTCCCATTAGCTGCTCTCTGGGGGCCTAACTGCCTGTGCCTCAACCCTAAGTCAGCCAGGATAGGCTTTGCCAATATCCCATTGGCTGCTCTGGGGCTGGGGGCGGGGGTAGCCTGCAGCTGGCAGCCCTGAATACTAACAACCATTCTTCTGACTTCCATGGGCATTGCATGACATGGGTGTACTTACACACATACAAACAATACACTCATATACATAAAAATGTAAATAAATTAAAAATGAAATTTGCAGGTAGGTGAATGGACAAGAAGCAATCATCCTAAGTAGGTAACCCAGATCTAGAAAGTCAAACATCACGTTTCTTCTCAGGTTAACTCTCATTGAGTTATTGGCCAGTAGGATCCCAAAGATTCACACACAGGCATTGTCATTGCTCTTGGTTACCCTCCAGAACTTAATGGTAAGATCCTACTGCTGAAGACAACACAGACTTGAGTCATAAAACATGGAGAAATCAAGAGGGTGCTGACCTGGAAGCTTTTTATTACTTTTCTGTTGCTGTGATACAAACACTGACTAAAACAACTTATAGAAGGAAGAGCTTATTTGAGCTTAGAATTCCAAGGGGCAAACATCCATCATGGTAAGGAGGCATGGAGGCAGAGGTGGCTAGAGGAGCAGAAGCTAAGCTCTCAGATCTTCAACTGGGCACAGGAACCCAACAAAGAACAATGATTACAATGATCTGATGGAACCAAGGGCACTACTGGAGTTAGAAAACGGCTACTGGATGGAGACTGTGCTTTCAATTACTACAGAGGCCTTTTGATGACCATCTACAGAGGATGAGGGGCATATTCCCTGACCCCACTCCTTCACATCTTTTGATCTTCTGTCACTATGTTTTGCTGGTCCAAACCAGCTAGAAATCAGTGCAGCTTAAACAGTGGAAGGAGAATCAGAAGAGATCCAGGATATGAGAACACTGGTAAGGTCATGGGGTGGAAAGGGAACAATATACAGAGACAAACCTAACATGGCTTTTATACTGATTATACTGGAGATGGGAAAAGTCAAAGGTGAAGTCATCATTTTAAGTCCAAGTAAAGAGACTAGAATACTGATAACATCAACTGAGACTGTTCACTAACTATTGAACTCTCAATGGCACAGTTCCTTGGGCATCAGAGGCAATCTATCAATATTTGTTTAACAGAAAACGAAATGAGGGATGGATGATGGAAGAAGCAGCAAATTCAAGGGAAGATTATGTGTTGTATATTTTCAGACATACTGAGCTTAGAGTACAGAGAAAAAGTTCTGCACATAGTTGGAGATTTGGGTCTAATGCTCTGAAAAGGAAGGTAATAAAGATGTACTTCTAAGAGCTGGGTCTGGCGGTTCATGCCTATAATCTCAGTACTTGGGAAGTAGGGGCAGGAGGATCTATTCCAAGGCTATCCTTGGCTATACAGCAAGTCTATATGAGACTATGTCTCATAAGAGAAAGACAAAGACAGAGAGAGAGAGAGAAAGAGAGGGGGGGAGAAGAGAGAGAAACATTAAATATAAAACAACCATAATCCAATTAAGAGCTACCTGCACAATCCAGACAAAATAACATTTCATCCTTTGAGAAAGAACTAAAAATCCCTGCTCTTTTTTCCTTTAATTCAGAAGACTGGCAAAGGAGCTGAATCATACATAGCTGCACCTTCAATTAAAAACAGGGATTTTCAATCAGGGTCTGTAGAAATAGCTCAGTGGTTAAGAGCACTAACTGCTCATGCAGAGGATCCAGGTTCAGTTCCACCTGAATGGCAGACCATCTGCAACTCCAGTCCCAGGCATCCGATGCCCTCTTATGACCTCTATGGGCATTGCACTTTGGGGGTACTTTTATATACATTATGTTGGATGGCTTTAGTTGTCAACTTGACACACCTGGATAGAAGGAGCCTCAGTTGGGGAACTGCCTTCGTTGGACTGGCCTGTGATTCTGTCTGTGAGGCATTTTATTGATTGTTGAGTGATATGGGAAAGCCCAGCCCACTGTGGGCAGTACCACCCCTGGTCAGGTTATTCTGTATTGTATAAGAAAGCAGGCTGAACATGGGCCAGGGGAGCAAGCCAGTAAGCAGCGTTCCTCCATGGCCTGTGCTTCAGCTCCTGCCTCCAGGTTCCTTCCTTGAGTTCCTACCTTGGGCTCCTTAATGAATTGTGACCTGGGAAATGTAAGCTGAATAAACCCTTTCCTCCCCAAGTTGGTACTGGTCAGAGTGTTTTGTAACAGCAATTGAAAGTAACGAGAACACGCATAAAATAAAAATAATAATTTTTTTTAAGTTCAATCATGCTGTGCTGGAATAGTAGCTCAGTTGTAGGACATCTTCCTAGCAAGCTTAAGGCCCTTAGTTTGATCCTCAGAACTACAGAAAAATAATAATAAAAGCTCAATGTTTAATCACACTATACAATAAATTTCTCTTATCTTTCTTCCTCAGTGCTTCACAAAGTACCAATTATCTTCAAATGTACTATCTGACACATAGTAGTCATTCAACTAACCATTTGCTGAGTAATGAATAAGAAGCAAACCCAAGCCCAAAGCAGTAGAATCAATACCTTTAGCTCTCTTCTAGGCAAAGTTCAAAGGTTTTAATCTTCAAGGCAGTTAGCTAGTGCATCCTTTGACTTAACCTTGGCTCCATAGGAAGTCTGATGTTAAAGACTTGATGCTGAGTGTTAAGACAAAGACTCAGGACCAAAACAACAGCAAACCCATACACAGCAAATCCTAGAACTTCAAAAAGAGGAAGAAAGTGGAATCTAGAACAATGCTGAACCTTAACTATTTCCTGTCTTCTATTGTGTTATATTATTGCTCAATTCTCCAGCATAATCGCCTCTTCACTACAGCCTTGCAAACCATACAATCAGCAATGTATCCTACTCATCCGAGATCATATTAAAATGTAGGTTCTTCCCAGATACAGTGGCTCACACCTTTCATCCCAGCACTCGGGAGGCAGAGATCTCTGAGAGACTGAGGCCAGCCTGGTCTACAAGTGGTCTGTAAGTTCCAGGCCAGCTGGGGCTACAAAGAGACCCTGTCTCAAAAAAAAAAAAAAAAAAAAAGTAGGTTATCCTCAATTACATATGGAATGAAAGATGCTATGCTGCTGAGTGTCAGGAATTTGGTTGAGGAGGTTGGGTAGTTTGATAAGTCAGTTAAGGACCTGCACAAAAGCATGAGAACCTGAATTCATACCCCAGCACCCACATAAAATATGCCCATTTCCTCAGTGCTGACGGGCAAGAGGGGAGGCAGAGACAGAAGAACCCCTGGAGCTCTTCCAACCAGGCTGGAGAAATAGATGAAATACAGGCCCAGTGACACCCTGTCTCCAAAAGGTGCAGAGTGGATTGAGGAAGACCTGACAACACACACACACACACACACACACACACACACACACACACACACACACACAAAGAATTTCCTCTTATTGGCAAAGAAAACATGTGCATTCTAGCACCAGAGTCAAAATAACCTACTGCACTTACTTTTCCTAGTTGTCTAAACTTAGTAAGTCAATTCTCCTCCTAAGTCTGCCTTTTTCATCAGTGGAAATAGTAAACAGTAACAGATAATTTATTGCATTCTTCCTACATTCCAGGAACTAAGGTTTCATATTGATCAACTTATGAATTAGACTTAGGTAAAACAGCTTGTTTAAGTAAATGGTAAACTGAGTAAATGATAAACTGAGTTAGACTGTCACACTTCCTTAGGTCTCTCAAGCCACCATGATTATTAAATAAAATTGCTATCTAGCTTTCACCGAATCTAAGCCTCCCTTAGAATATATTAACACATTAATCTTTAAAACAGTACTGGATAGGAAGTGCTATTAGAATCTCCATCTCACATGACTTTCCAGGCCTAAACAAATAGCCCAAGGTCAAACAGTGGGACAGCCTGAATTTTACCCGGGCCATCTAACTGGTGAATTCAGCGCTCTTCTACTTGAAAAGGATGAGGGTCCTCAGCTCTCTAGGATCCCTGTAAACTTGCACCACTGAGCTCAGCAAGAACGGTCAGTCACACTAATTCACAAAGCAGACCAAGTCTTCTGGCCTACCTTCAAATATACATTGTATCTGTGGGATCTGTATCCGCTCACACCTAGGGCAAAGAGACTATGACTCTGGCGAAATGCTCTGTCTCGCCCCAGGAAGAGCTAATTGGCCAAGCTTCTTTACAATAGATCACACCTGAACCTGCAGCACGCACTGGATCTGGAATCCACAGCATCTGTGGCCCCAGGAGCTTGAGAAGCCCGCGGCGACCGCCCCTGCCCGCAGCACCCTGGGAAACGTAGTCCAAACCAAAACTTGACGCTTGCAGTCTGGGCTCCTGAGCCCCGCCTACATCCGGGTGCGAGCCGGAGGTCCCGCCTCCAAACCGCTTCATCAGCTTTCCAATGCCGCCCTCTGCCAGCATTGCTTCGGTCGCCCAATTGTGAGCAGTTCCGGGAGCCCCGGAGGTGACCCCTCCCCTTCCGGATTGAGAGTCCGGACGTCCGCACGTGGCCACCGGTTCTCTGGGTGCTTCTCCAGCGGAGGTGCTGTCTGTGGCTGCCTCGAAGTGCGGCTGCGGAGCCGCAGCGGGAGTTATGGAGGGCCAGAGCGTGGAGGACCTGCTGGCCAAGGCGGAGCAGGACGAGGCAGAGAAGCTGCGGCGTATCACGGTGCACAAGGAGCTGGAGCTGGAGTTCGACCTGGGCAACCTCCTGGCTTCGGACCGGAACCCCGCGACGGCACTGCGCCAGGCGGGGCCCACGCCGGACTCCGAGCTTCGAGCCCTTGCACGGGACAACACGCAGCTGCTCATCAACCAGCTGTGGCAGCTGCCGACCGAGCGCGTGGAGGAGGCGGTGGTGGCGCGGCTGCCGGAGCCCGCCACGCGCCTGCCGCGCGAGAAGCCGCTGCCCCGGCCGCGGCCGCTCACCCGCTGGCAGCAGTTCGCGCGCCTGAAGGGCATCCGCCCCAAGAAAAAGACCAACCTGGTGTGGGACGAGGTGAGCGGCCAGTGGCGGCGCCGCTGGGGCTACCAGCGCGCCCGGGATGACACCAAGGAATGGCTGATCGAGGTGCCGGGGAACGCCGACCCCATGGAAGACCAGTTCGCCAAGCGGATTCAGGCCAAGAAGGAGCGCGTGGCCAAGAACGAGCTGAACCGGCTGCGGAACCTGGCCCGCGCGCACAAAATGCAGGTGCCTAGCGCGGCCGGCCTGCACCCCACGGGACACCAGAGTAAGGAGGAGTTGGGCCGCGCCATGCAGGTAGCCAGGGTCTCCACCGCCTCGGTGGGCCGCTTCCAGGAGCGCCTGCCCAAGGAGAAGGCGCCCCGGGGCTCCGGCAAGAAGAGGAAGTTTCAGCCCCTTTTCGGGGACTTTGCAGCCGAGAAAAAGAACCAGTTGGAACTACTTAGAGCCATGAACAGCAAAAAGCCTCAACTGGACGTGACGAGGGCCACCAACAAGCAGATGAGGGAGGAGGACCAGGAGGAGGCCGCTAAGCGGAGGAAAATGAGCCAGAAGGGCAAAAGAAAGGGGGCCCGGCAGGGTCCTGCGAGCAAGAGGAAAGGCGGCCCGCCCAGCCAGGGAGGGAAAAGGAAGGGAGGCTTGGGAGGCAAGACGCACTCCAGGCCGCCTGGCTTGGGTGGCAAGAAGAAAGGCGTGCATCCGCAGGGAGGGAAGAAGAGGAAGTAAAACTGAGAGCACTGGACCCGTTCGGCCGGTACCGAGTGTTAAGTTGTGCCGGAGGTGGCCGCTGCCTGCACTGAACTTGAGCTTGAAGGGGGGACAGGCTTGCCCTCCCCTCAAGAGAGTAAGTGTTGGACTACAAATCTTTTTCCCATCACCGAGACTTTGGCTGGAGATTGTATATTTTGAGAACAAAAGAATTAGAGAAATAATTTGGTCAGAATCGGGAATGAGTTGACAGCCGCCTTTTTTCATTTTACCTTTGGATTTTGGTTAAAAGATTGCTATATTTCTAAGGCATGTTTCAAACATTTCCGTATTATTTTTATAACAAGCTGTATATTTATCAAAGTAGAGGAGAGGGGATATTACATCTACCTGTGATTTACAAGTATTGTAAAGGTTATTTAATAAAAGTATACCAGTATCTAGTGTTGCTTTTAAAAACTTTCACTGTTGGTAGAAATTGTACATGAGTCAGTACACATTAGTTTTGTATACTTTTGAAAAAGCAAAGTAGTTACAATGGTTACAGGAAGGCTACATTTATTAGAGAAATTTAAAGAAGTTCTTTTGGTACTAAATGTAATATTAAAAACATGATGTACCTAGTGTTTGTTGAAAAGTCCATGGTTTTCGACACTACACGTTGCTTTAAATGATAAATTAGGATTACACTGAATAATGGTACTTAATCTTGTTAATCCAGAAAATATGTCTTTTTGTTTAGAACTAGTTGGTTTCCGTGTTTTGCGATCACTCTGTAGCCCAGGAATTGTCAGTGGAAGTTCCCGCACCCTGTTGAGATTTGTCTATTGCTGCTGCCCTGGGTCTTTTTCTTCGACAGCTGTATTCTTATTTTTTATCTTAATAAACTTTTCGTAAATGGCTATCTCCTGAAAGTTACAGCAACTCCAGAACTGAGAGAGGGGCTTTTTCACTGCTATCAAGCTAAATAGCCACCCTGTTCTTTTTGATCTGACAGTTGATTTGAAATTGGAGTTGGTTCTTTAGGCTGCTCTCTTTTTTATAAGGTTACTTTTAGAAATTACAAGGAAAGATCAACTGGTTTCATAGTAGATTGCTGAGAATGCACATTTGTTAATGGCTTTGGATAATTTTCTGATTAACATTGGACTCCACATCTTTAGTGAACTTTTAGATGGACCATGGCAGATGCACTGCAGAGCTCTCCCAGTTTATAGTGGAATCCTGATGCATTTTAAGCACCCTGGAGGCTAATGGCATCCTGAGCAACTTTATTGAAAGCAAAGCTGTTAACAGCATTAAATTGCTACCGAGGCGAGCTTTGTTTGCTTTTGTTCCTTTGTTTAGGGGTTTTCCTTTGATTTTTCAGTGGGACACAGCACTGGCTTTATTTAAAAAGAAATCTAGAAGCCAAACTAGTGTTTTAGGAATTCAGAGTGCAAGCCTTTAATCCCAGCACTTTGGAGGCAGAGGCAGGCAGATCTCTATGGGATCCAGACCATTTTAGTGAGCGGAGCAAGTGGGCTGATGTTCCTATCCTGCTGGGCGGGAGGAAGCGGGTGTCCAGGATTGGCCCGCAGCGGGGGTGGAGCACCCGGAAGTCCAAGAGAACTGCTACAGCCATGGCCACTGCAGCCCGCGCCAGGATCCTGCACTTGCTGAGGCACCTGCAGAGCGCAACGTGAGTACAGGCGGGCTGAGAATCCACGGTGCTTGGAGCTCCTGCATTCACAACCGGGCTATGCGGTGGTCGGGTGCTTGCAGAATTTAGGGAAGCTTACACCACAGTGTGCACTTGGGCTGTGCACCAAGGTCTGACAAGCATGGTAGGAAGGTGCCCTGTGGCAGGTTTTAATCCTATCATGAAGGAATAGGCCCGAGAACTTGGCTTCATCCCACACGGTGTGGCAGGCAGTGTAGAACTTGGCACTATGGCCAAGACAAATTAACAAGGAGCACATATGTACTGAACATACATACATGTCCAAAACTGCTCTTCAGGGAATACAGCAATGAAAAACTGGAGCACAGGCAAGTTGGGCATGGTTGCCTGTTGCAGGTTGCAGCAGATGAGATGTAGACAGGAAGACACACTAGGGGGTTTCCCTCCCTAACACGCTCAGGGAGCCTGAGTGTTTGGACACACCAGTCTCCCTCTTCAGAAAAGCTAAGTGCATGGGTCAGCCTCAGAAAACAGGAGAGGGAATTTAGCGGAGGGAAGAGGGACACCAGAAAGGGGAAGTTGCAGTTCCAGAGCCCAGAGGTAAGAGTTTGGGCTGCCTCCTAGGCTGTGGTGAGGACTGAGGCCTGAATATGGAAACAGCTGACAGATGGGGGTTGAGGGGGCCAGGCCCTGTCCAGCACTTCACATGGAACAATCCTTAGGACAGCACTGACTCACTGTATTATCCTCTAGCATGATAAAGGCATGAAGAAAATCATTCATTCATAGATAAGTGAGTGGCACGGCTGTACTGGAAACTGGCTTCACAGGTCTTGTTCTCAGGCCTATGGTAAAATTGTAATGTGTTCTGTGAATAACAGCCACCAAAGCTGTATTTCTCACCCTGAATCGCTAACAACTTGAGAACCTTGTGATAAAAGAATTCTATGGTCAAGTAGATTTGGAAAACTACTTTCTGTATTGACCTCTGGAGAGTCAGGATATACATTAGCACGTAAAGGGTTCTGAGAAGTCCTGAAAAGAAGGGAATAGCTTGTAGCTATGTGTGTAGCTATGTTTAAGATTTTTGTTCGAAACTTGTGTCATACATTTTTTTTTTAATCATACACCCCCATATCCATTGGAACCAGTGTCACCCAGAACATGATTTTGGAACTGTTTCGTGAGAAGGGAGTACAGATGAGTGGAATTAGGTCAGTGCACTCTGGCACTAGTGGAGAGTGGACAGGAAAAACTAAAGATGTCTTACTCCACTAAAGGTGGAGTAAGTTTTGAAGCAGTTTCAGGGAGAAAGGAGGCACAGTACTGTGGATCACAGAAAGGGTGCCTAGCTGAGTCTCAGAAGGCTACCAACCAGAAAGAACAAAAGTCACCTAGTGGAAAAGAGAAGGGAAGCATGTTCCAAGAAGGGAAATATCTAGGGCAAAGTCAAGGGTGAGGGAGGGGGCAGTGAAGCAGGGAGAAAGGTGGAGATTGCAGCCCATTCAAGGCAAAGAACAAAAAGAATTTTTCAGAAGCCGAAACCCAGAGATGGAGCCAGGCTGGAGCAGACAGCAGGGCTACAGCTGAACTTTATTGCCATGGAAGAAGCAATGTTAACGAAGGGAGTGACATCATTGGAAAAATGCCCCTGACCACACTAGGGACATAGAGATGGCAAAGGTGCAGCCACAAGAAGTTAGTTAAGAAATGGAAAAATCTGAAGCAGGGCGTAGGGAAGACAGGGAGAAAAGTGGAGAAAGATCTTGGGCCTTGGTGTGTATGAGACTGAAGGTTGAGAAGAAAGGGGCAGGCTGGCTGAAGACAGCCCAAGACAGAGCTCAACATGTAAGGACTGGGCAGAGTGGGAAAGGAGCAGAGGAGATAGAGACAGTATAGAGAAATAGAGCTGGGTATAGAAAGTCTGAGAAGCTGTAACATCCTAGCCTGAGTGCGAGATACCATAAAGAAAGAAAGATGTGCCCCTTCTGTGGACTTTTAGACTATCGAGACAGTGGACCCTGAGGAATTAGAATTCCCAGCAGTGTTATGTTGGAAGAAAAAAAAAGGCTGGGGCCCTGTTGCCAGAGAGCTTGTCTCCCCAAAAGATATTTCACACCGTTCTGACAACTTGTCAGACCACCTTGACAGAGAGACTGGAGCCAGAACAGCAATGGGTCTGAGATGGATGGTACCATACACTGATAGGACAGCTTAGTTATACAGATCTCTTGCCCTTTATTAGAGACTTATTTTTATTATGTGTGTCTGAGTGAATGCCACCTGTGTGCCTAGTGTCAGTAGGGTGTTAGAGGGTGTTAGATCCCCTGGAGCTAGAATTACAGGCAGTTATGTGATGCCCAATGTGGGTGTGGGGAATCTAACTCCAGTCTGAGCCATCTCTCCAGCCCCACGTTTATATAAACCTCTATCTCATGTCAGAACCCTGAAAGATGGACTTGCGGGGGTGGGGGGTCACTAGACCTCTTTGTTCCTCTTCCCAAAATGGCCACATTAGATAAATCTTTCTCTGTTTTTCACTAGTACTTGTGTCTTTAATTGACATATTGAGGACAAATGGCTGAGCCTGGTTTGTTAGAGCTGCCAGAGATCAGGCTCTGATCCTAAAACGTAACAAAGTGAAGATCCGGTCAGAAAGCTGGAATTGGTCCTTAAAGACACAGCAGCCTGATTTCAGGGACCTCAGAGTGAGCTGGAAACTGGCCAGCGAATGTAAGCCAGGAGAACCAGAGGGTGAGCAAGCCTGAGATTTTCAGGCATGAGATTCCTAAGTATGACAGGAAGGACAAAGGAAAGGGAGCACGAGGACACATAGTTGAATGTCCTCAGAAGGCAAGAGGGAACCAGACACAAAGCTCAGTTAATGAGTAAAAATGATTAGCCTCATAGCTTAAAAAAAAATTGAAAGAAGAGGGTGGGAGGAGGCAGCCTGTGTTCTCAGGAGCCTTCACATTGCAAAACTGGGTTTGGATGGTTTTTTTCCCTTTGTCTCATCCTTGGAAGGTTTACTACAGGGTAAGTTCTAGAAAGTAAAGCCTTGCTCTATGGCGTGCCTGGGCCTGGCTTGCTACTGTCATGTCCCCAGCAAGAAGTAAGTGACCACTGGGTGGCAGCCTTGCTCTATGTTTTGACTTCACAGCCCTCAGGAAGTTTAGCTGTCTTAGCCATTTGAAGGAACCACCCTTTTCCTTCCTTTACCTTTTCCCTCCTCGGGTGTTTTAATTCCAAATTTGAATTTCGGCGGGGTGTGGATGGGAGGAGGCCACACAGTCAACTATTTACTGACACCTCACTCTGACAAGGTCCTTCGAGCCATAAAGGGAAACATTAACAGAATAGAAGAAATTGAAGCCAGAGGGAGACACCATCCAAGAAATAGATGACCAGAACAGGGAAAGAAGGAAGGGAAGTTTCCAAAAAGAGAACATTGACAGTCTATGGTGATAGGCTTCAGGGAGCAGAATGTACTGGATGTACATGCTCTGGGAGGTTCCCAGAGACAGAACAAGCACACACAGCCAGAGGCTACAGCAAAGGATGAAGTTGGGACATGAAGGACTGACCTAGGAGGCTTGTGGGGCTGGGGGCTTCTGAAGGGGCTGGTGTAGGGCCTGTTAGAAATAACACCTTGAAGATATGGGGCAATTACAAGGACACCCCCAGGGTTGAGGACTGAGTGAGAAGAGGCTCATGAGTTCTGTCAGTCTGGTCAAAGCTCCTAATCCTGTCAGAACTTGGAGGATCATGGCACCAAGGACTCCATGGGTGCTTCTCACAGCTCCCTGCAGGCATTGAGTAGGTATAGCTTGAATAAACAACCTCATGAAAAATTATCCTGTAGTACTGAAAAGACATGGAGTTAACCTTCTGTCTTTTGTGTGGTCTGGGGTTTGGGTTTTTGTTTTGCCTTTTGTTACACAGTCTGTCAGTAGTGACTGGTTTAGCCCTGGGACTCAAATGTTGTGTGAGAGTTACTTTAAGGTTCTCATTTTGACTTTATGTTTATATTTTCCTTTTTCTTTTCCTTAGATGCCAGTGCCCAACTCATTCTCATACCTACTCCCAAGGTAATTTTGAATTTTTACACTAGCTACAATTTTTCTTTCTACAGCTGTCATGTGCCATGCATTTAGGTAAAGTGTAAAGCAAAAAATTAAGACATGAGAGGCAGGCTGATGAAACAGCTACCTTTCACTATGAAATTGGTAATATGTAACTCCAAGTATGATGTATTTGACTCAAATAGGTATTTGATGCTATTTATAGTACTTTCAATTCTAAATAGAATATTTTCCAAAGCTAAAAGTGTATTGATGATGTTTAAGAATGTTTAGGTTTATCAAACAGATCTAATCAAGAGGAAGAAGTCTTTTAGGGTGAAAGAGGTCTCAAAAAGCTAAAAGGGGGCCTGGAGAAATGACTCAGTGGTTAAAAGCACCTGCTGCTCTTACAAAGGACCTAAGTTTAGTTCTCAGCACCTATATGGGAGTTCACAACCACCTCTAGTTCCAGAGGATCCAATGCTCTCCTCAGGCTTTGACAGGCACCAGACACACAAGTGGTACACATACATACATGCAGGCAAAACATTCATACATGTAAAATAAAAAAAATTTCTTGGAAAGAAAAGCTAAAAGGATAAGGTGAATGCTAGAAGAAAAATACTTGCCCATATCTGTTTTAAAGATATCTATTTCCTAATAATGGTAAAAGTTTTCAATTCCCATCATCTTAATCCACATCTCCATTGTCTACAGAGTTCACTGTAACTTCAACATGTCCCAGAGTGTCACATGAATTATTGACACAAAAACTAATTTTGCCTCTCACAAGAAAAGGTCAGCTATAAACAGAGGTGAGGAAGAAGGGACCAATCCATGTAGGATGCTGAGCAGAGGCCCACAAGACAGGCTTGTGAAGAGGAGACAGGAGGGTAAATAACCAAGGCCTTTTGTTTTCCTGGCTCACCATCCAGTCTTTAAGTCTGTTAAGAACATAGGAAGAATTTTTTTTTCACCTAGTTTGTTCCAATCTTTGGTTGGTTTAAACAAAGAATCAGCAATTATATTTTTGGAGGAAAATAATTTTTTTTAACTATAGTATTAGTAAGCTTAGCAGCTAAGTTCCAGCTTACTGTTTTACCTAACAGTAGCAGGAGCAGCAGCTGTATTGGTAGTAATGTCTTTAGAGCCTTAAAGGAATCAGAGAAAGAGGAATTTTGATAAGCTGTCTTTGCCCTCAAGGAACTAATGTTACATTGTTAGTTAGTTCTGGTCTCTCATTCTTTAACAACAACAACAACAGCAAAAAAGATGAAAGTTATTCTGTTGACTTTCATTTATCTTATGACTGACCAGGATTGACTGTAAGTAAGCATTAAAAAACAAAGAGGCCAAGGCCATATCTCAACAAGGAAAGGTGCTTACCATGCAAGCCTGACAGCCTAATTTGGGTCCCTGGATCCACTTAAAGGTGGAAGGAGAGAATCAGCTCTACAAAGTTGTCTTCTGACATCCACATGTACACTGTGGTACATGCACTCATCATGAGTGTGTGTGCACATACACACACACACACACACACGAGAGATGATAATAAATAACTTTTTTAAAAAGATAAAGTTCAGTTCAGAGCCACCCTGATCTACATAATGAGCTCCAGGACAGCTGGGGCTACAGAGAGACCCTGTCTCAAAAAGATAAAAAAAAATAAAAATAAAGTTCATCGATAGGGCCCCTTATTGCTCCAATATGACAGCTAGTTTTGTTGTAACTAAATTGGTTTTATAAGTAAATATTGGCTTAAATTTGATGTGTAACCATGAAACTGCCCCAAAATTGTTTTTAGGTAGGACTTCAAGGAACATACTTATGTTCACTGCTGGATTTTATTATCAAAAAACAATATGTAGCCTTATTTTTAGATGCTGTTCTAATGCTAATTTCTGCATTTCTAGCTTCTGGACTTTCGCCTCCTGGGAAAACAACAGATTATGCCTTTGAGGTAGATCTCATCAGTTCATCCTTTCTTTTATGAAAGACCTGAAAATATGTCTACAGTATTTGTTAATGCATTAGTGCTTCATTTGAAATCTGTTATTAACTGATGTTCCAGAGTCCCTTTTTGATCAGGTCCTATGCAGCAAAGTACCCTTGTAAAGGTAATGAAATATAAATAGTCGGAGAACAGGAATAATGTTTAAAATGTCTATACAGCTGTTAAGATATGACAGACTCCCAGTTCTACTCACCAAATTATATGTGCTGTATGCCAAGTCTCTGATTTTGTAGTTGTAACAGAAGAGGTCAAAGGACTCCACTGAAGCAAGAGTGTTGCTTACTAATTACATAATTACTTATAATTATTTTTCAGCTCTCTGACCCTCCTAGTCTAACAGTCATAAGTTGAAAGGTCACTAAGGGCCCTCTGAGAGCCCAGGTTCCATCTGAAGGTACAGCTACCACTAAGCCCACATGATTGTTGCCACTTGGAAATAATAGTCTTGGTGCTGCTAGATTTGAGAGAGAACAAAATCCAGGTGGTCATGTTCAATTATTTAAGTTCTCACTTTTGAAAGTTACTAATCTTTTTTTTTTTAAGAAAGAAAAATCTGAACATCACATGGATCAAACAGAACATGTCTTTGATTGAAAAGTGGCCTATATCCAACAGTGTGAAAGTTCTCCTTTCACCTATAAACAGTAGAAGGCTGTGTTTCTCTGCAGTTACTTGTGCTTCCAGAATCCAGCCCAGGGCCTGGAATGGGCAGTCCTGGGGGCGGGGGGGGGGGGAGCTGGGGGTGCGCCTCCTTGCAAGGTGGGTGGGTAGATGAAAAGGCAAAATGTATGCAGAGGGAAAAAAACTAAAATTAGCGAGC